GCAGCAGCAGCAGAAGAAGCAGAAATATATGAATGCATAGAAACAGAAGTCGACGCGGTGGAGCTGCTGCTACAAAAAACAGAAAAAAAAGAAAAAATAAAAACAGAGGGAGGGCCCCCCCCCCCTCCTTCTTGTCTCAGGCATATCTGCTGCCTCCTGCTGTTTCTGCTGCTGCTGCTGCTGCTGCTGCAGCAGCAGCAGCAGCAACAGATGCTGCTGAAGATGTAGGCCGCGATGGCAGCAGTTCTGCTGCTCCTGCTGCTGCAGTGGATAGAGAAAAAAAAAGAGAAAAAAAAACAAAGACAGAGAAAGAGACAAAAACAAAAACAGAGAAAGAGAGAGAAAAAGAAACAGAGACAGACAAGGAGACAAATATAAAAACAGAGAAAGAGAGAGAAAAAGAAACAGAGACAGACAAGGAGACAAATATAAAAACAGAGACAGAAAAGGAGACAAAAAAGGAGACAGAAGGAGACATGCATGCGCTGCTGTTCCTGCAGCTCTCTAACTGCTGGAGAGAAGAAATAAAAACAGCAAAACGAACGGCGCTGCTGCTGCAGCAAACGCTCCACGAAATACCTAAACCACAAGCAGCAGCAGCAGCAGACAACGAGCAGCAGCAACAGCAGCAGCAACGGCAGCAGCAGCAGCAGCAGCAGCAGCAGCAGCAGCAGCAGCACGAAGAAGAACGAGATCTATCTGCAGCAAATGAGAGCTCTAAGACAAACCTCCACCAGCAGCATTCTGCTGCGCCCTCTTCTTGCCTCCCTCCTCCTGCTGCTGCTGCTGCTGTTGGCACTGCTGCTGCTGCTGCTGCTGGCTCTGCTGCTGCTGCTGCTGCTGCTGCTGCTGTCTCAGATGCAGCTTCAGGCGGTGCCTTCGAGAGCGCTGATCGATGCGCATCTGCGGCGTTGGCATGCACGCAGCAGCAGCAGCAGCAGCAGCAGCAACAGCAGCAACAGCAGCAACAACAGCAGCAGCAGCAACAACAGCAGCAGCAGCAAGATGCAGCAAGCGGGTCGCAGCCACAGGCAGCTGAGGCCCGCGAGGGTTCTTCTGAGGCCCTACCAGCTGCTGCAACAGCAGCAACTGCAGCAGCAACTGCAGCAGCAACTGCAGCAGCAACTGCAGCAGCAATTGCAGCAGCAGCAGCAGCAGCAGCAGCAGATACAGGCGATGAGAGCCTGGAGGAGTTTATAATGAAGGGGAGAAACAAAGAAGATGCAGAAGACATGCAGCAGGCGAGAGAAGAGCTGCAGCAGCTGCAGCAGAGTCTGCGTAGGCTCAAGTCTGAGGCGCTGCTGCAGCAGCAGCAGCAAGAAAAATATCGTATACAGCAGCAGCAGCAGCAGCAGCAACATGAATATAAACTGCAGCAGCTGCAGCAAAAAACTAAAAAAAGAATTATTAAAGAAACTATAAAACACGAAAAA